GGTAGGTGGGATGGGCTACTTTCCATAGGAGCAGCACAGGGAAATGGGAACAAAGACCTGGATGGGAGCCAGGACATGGACACTACAATAAAGTTACGTGGATATTTGGGTAAGCACATGCACCTTAGCTTGGGAAAAAAAGTAAATAAATTAAAACCTCATTGTTATATCCTCTTATTGATGTCATAAATACAAGAAGTATCCTTAGCTTGAATACCAAACATCCAGTCAGAGAACACCACCTGGTATTTGTTAGTCATATTAGCCTAACATTTTGCAGCCCTCTCTAGTAGCTGCAATGGACTTTTCACCCTGCTCTCTAGGTACCATCAACTGGATATACTATAAGGTTTAGTCTCTCCCAAGCAAATTACTAATGTTTGCCAAGTACTTTGAGATCATCTGATGAAAGGCTCTATAGAACCACAATCTATTATTTCTTAGTCAGAAAAACACATTTGCTGAACAGGAAGAACAAAAGAACGAGCTGTGGGCCCCCAATAAGCATTCAACACAAGTTAATTTGCTCAGCAGCTGTATTTTTCTGAGACAGATTGTATATTTTCATTGTTAAAATTAAAAATGTCCACTGGGCTTGTACCCTTCATGCTTTACATTGCTGCCTGATACATTCTGAGTCTAATCTAGTGAACAAATTCAACTCCTTTAATAAATAAGGGATACACTCAAATAATTTTGCCTTTGTCCAGGCAAAAATTAATGAAGCCAGATGACACGCAAGGCTGCAGAATCTTCCCCCTCATGGAAAAAAATAGTGGAAATCTGGCATATAGCAAGGCAGGCAGTATGTGTGAATCATGGCTGCCTGCCGATGCGCCTGATTCAGAGCAAGGCAGTAAGAACAATAATACTGCACTACACCAACTAACCTTCAAGCTTAGTCACAGTTTCACACAGCTAATGAGCAGAGGGAGCAATGAATCTTCAATTTATGGTGTTCTGTTCCAATAGATTTAGCCTGAAGACAACAGCAGCACTTCCTTGCATCTCTAATGACTTATCTTGTCTTTAGGTCTTCTTTTTTTCCCTTGTCCTTCCCTACATCATGAGGGTTTTTTAAATCATTATTGAATTTTCAAAACCCTGGTGGGTAAATTCTTATCATCAGCTCCTACGGTAAAATTACAGAGTAAAACCCATGAATCTGCCAAATTTGCTCCTCATTGTTTTTCTCATCTCCCTGTTCCTCCCGCATCAGACTGTTTACCCAGAATTATCAGTGCTGTCGTGCAATACTCTGACTATGCCAGGGAAGAAGCTTTGATTCCAAACCCCTGCTTTCATGTATGCTTCTTTTGTAAATTACCCGAAGTGCCTCCTGTTGTATTTTTAGCCAGGGGTGAGCCATTCATGGAAATCTGATAAAATCCATTTAACTACAGTTAAACTATCAAAACCTGAGTGAGTCCTAGTTAACTTTTAAGAAGTTTACACGTGTTTATTTGAGCTCACATGAGCTCAAATAAAGCAAGCACATCTTTATTTTAACTTTAACAGAGTGGCTCTGGACTTAGAACCTATGGAGAATCAGGCCTGTAAGCATGCCGAATGGAGACACAATGAAGGCAGAATTGGGGGGAAAATGTCCCAAAAGAAACATTTTTTGGAGAAGTGCCAGAGGAAAAATGTGCTGCATTGACATCAGCAGCTCAAGCGAAGGGGGTTGCTTCCTTTGGCAAGAAATTGGGTTTATTTTGAGGACAGAAGTAGTGAGATGGCAACACCAATGCCCATAACACATGAAGCACAGTTTCAGCCTCAAGCACAAATGTTCCTTGCGTTTGAAGAGCATGTAGCCTGTTCCAGATAATCACCATGGTCTGTGTGGGATGAGGAAGACAGCAGTGTTGGGGACAGGAAGGCAGAAACCATCACCACCTATCTCCATCTGCCTTCACCTCTGTCAGGTAAATAAATCAGCCAGGCTTTTCTCAGGAAATACCTGACATGTGCCATGAGGCAGAAGGGATGCTGAGATACAGATATCCACCCCACAAGGTGTGCAGTGCATGTCTGCCAGGTGCCAGGCTTTAGGTTGCTCCAGCCCTGGGTTTGTGAAATTAAAAAATACATAAAGAAAGAACAAATCCCTGCTACCGGCAGCCAGCATCTACAGAAGAAAGTTGGGCAAAGGGTGCTCTGCATGCTGAATCTGACCCATGAGACAATTCCCTCCAGCCTCCACCCACATATAACATTTATATATAGCCCCAGAATAAACTCTCTTTTATAATCCTGCCACAAGCTGTCAAGCAGGGCAGCCCTAGACTAGATTTTGCTGCTGTTGTAGGAAAGGACGAGCATGTCTCATTTTATTAAAATACTAGAACAAGCCTGCCATATCATAAAAATTTAAAAATAGTGCAGAGTGCTACCTTACATAAAACACTGCCCTGAGCTGCCTTCTATTCACAGCATCCCAAATACACTGTAATCCCACAATAACCACAGACCAATAAAGGGATCGGAAGCTGGTGTTTCAGACACACAAATGCACCCCTTCCACTCCAAGTCCACATGAAATAGCTACGCAAAATGACCATTTTTGTGCAATAAAGAGTTCACCCATCTACCCACAACAATCTTTCATTCTACTCAGTTCTAGAGAAGGTCTAATTTAATTAAGCACGTTTTTCAAAGATGCCCAAGGGAATTCTGTGCCCTTCAAAAATCAGTGAGAATCAGCTTCACCCACCATCTGTGCTTTTGACTAGCCTCTTCAAAGCACCCACGTGGGAAGGAGCGCGGCCTATGCGTAGCTGGGATGCACAAGAGACTTCCCATGGCATTGCTGATGCCTTGCATTCTGTCTTTCCCAGTGCTGCCATATTTTGAAGCGGAAGGCCCTGCCACACCACCAGGGCTGTGGGCTGGTGCTCTCAAAGACTTTGGGTTGACTTGGTCCTTCATGCTGAAACTCCCGTTCAAGGTCCCTCTGGGTCAGTGTGGAACCAGCATCCTCTCCCCACAGTGCCACATAGTTATGGGTGTGCTCTGGAGGGCTGCTTCATTTCACATCAGACCAGATTATACTGGGGAAGCTGTGTGAAGGTACCTGGTCAGCAGCTCCTTTGGGGACCTCCAGATCTGTCTCAATGCAGCAACTCAAGCATGCCAGAAACTCCCAAAAAGCTGCAGTTTTTCTTGCCTGCAGCGCCAGGGATGTTACCATTCCCAAGCCAACTGCAGTCTGTTTGTCGCCTTCCTATCTTTTCTCCACAAACATCACCATATCCCTCCCTGTGTTTAAACCAACCACAAATGTTATGGCAGAACTGGGCTGAGAAACAATTAAACTTGCAGTTATGCTGGCACATCAAAAGGGACGGCAACCTCTTAGCCAGACAGCAGCAGCCACAACAGTGCCTCTGGCCTCAGCCTGAAGTTTCCCATTTCTTCTCCAGTGACTGTATCTCTCTACAGACTTTACAGGAAGTGGAGAAAAATCTCTCATCCTAGCTACATGATGTGGTTGTCACATGAACCCTTGGAGCTGAACCCCAAATGTGAACTTCCAAGATATATTGGGCATGCAGTCTTGAATCCAGAATCCCATCACAGCATGTACATGACCAGTCTAACACTGGTAAAGGGTTATTTCAGCAGTTATTTCAGCCTGGCTACATGACAGCTCTGCGGAAGAGGATTTGGCATCCTGATGGATATCAGGTTAAACATAAATTAGCTGTGTGCCCTTGCAGCAATAAAGGCTAACCTTGTTGGGCTCTATTAGCAAGAACATAGCCAGCTAAAAGAAGGGATTATCCCACTCTCCTCAGTACTTGGGAGGCTGTGTCTGGGGTACTGGGTGTAGTTTGGGGTTCCCCAGGATAGAGAGGAGACAGACAGACAGATGAGACTGCAGCACAGGGGCACTGAGACATCAGGGAGCCAGGACACAAAACACACAAGCATGGGCTGAGAGAACCAAAGATTTTTAACATTCAAGGGGTGTTTAATTTCAGTCTCCTAAAACCTACATAGAAAAACAGAGCCTGTCTCCTCTCAGAGATGCACAGTAAAGAGATGAGAGGCAATGGCCATAAGTTGCAGCAAGGACAATTCAGACATGATACAGGAAAAAAATCATATGGGGTTTGCATTGCCCAAAGAGTCTGTTCAGTCTCCATCCTTGGAGATATTCAGAACATGACTGGGCAAAGTCCTGAGTAATTCGATCTTACTTCGAAGCTGACCTTGCTTTGAACAGGAGGTTGGACTAGGTGACCTCCAGGGGTCTCTTCCAACCTAAATTTTTCCATGATTTTCTGGAAAAAGCTCAAATACAGAAGCTATCTTAAAAGCACTTCTTTGAAAGATTCAGCTAAAAATGCAGCTCTCGGGAGGCTATAGCAATCCTGATAAGGTGTCTGGTATCCATAGCTGAATCCTCAGGGGAACAGCTCGTGGGACTGTATGGCAGCAAAAAAGAGGCTCAGCCCTAATTCAGCCCTGAGTGCTGAATCCTATCACCCAGACTGATCCAACTCAATCCAAACAGTGCTCCCTCAGCTCTTCTCTAATGACAATAGGGTTTTTTTCTTGCAAGGGTTCAGTCTGCAGAGCTATCACAACAGCAGCGTTTCCCCCTGTCAAATTCACTTTTTAAAAGCCATGAAAAATGGAGACAAGAGATTATGGAGGGATATCTCTGTACAAAAGCAGGACCAAAGTAAATCTGTTTCTATAGTGAGGCTGGGAGGGAAGAACAGGCTATTGGGGGGATCACAGTGCTTTGGAAAGAGACAAGGTTACCTGGAAGGACCATTTCTCCTTTTCAAGCCCCCAAGCTCTGGAGATACGCTGACCCCCACTGGCACTTGTTTCCTGGGTAATTCTGGTCCCTTGGCACCAGAAGAATGTAAGATATGATGATGGACACGTACCAGTCAACATCCCCTTGGCCACTCCTTGCACTTTATAACTGATTTTCCTTGAAGCAGAGCTCACAGAAATCAACAGCATGGCTCTTTTTTCAGGTACCCAAGGCTTTGTCACTGCACAGAGGAGCCACATGTCCTGCATGGATGGGCATGGGACAACCCTGGCTAGCTTCACATGCGCCACGGGGCACAGCACAGTTCTCCATGCAACATTCTCCATAGTGCAGGAACATCTCCACCTGCATTTATGCTTTTTGCAATAAATACTGTCTGCCTAATGAGAATTCACTGTTCCAAAAATAACTGTAATTACCCAAGAAGCAGAGGAGCCTATTTACAAGATTTAAAGGGAAAGAAGAAAGAAAATCTCTTAGAAGAAAACTTCCAGCACCTGGACCTCAATATACAAAATGAACTGAAAAGGGGCGGCTCACTCCCTGGGAGAGGCTCAGCATGTTTGAAGGTGCATGTACTTCTTGGTACTTTGCCCATGCCAACCATGAGGAATTGCATAAGTCAGATGGCAATAAAATATTATATGAAAACCAATTACTCCTCATGAGCAAACTATCGGGGGGGGGGGAAAGGGGGCTCTGGCAATGCTTACACCTGTGAAAGTTTATAAGTCACTGCTGAATATAAGGGGGGTAAAAAGAAAGAAGACATAGAGCCAAAGGAGTGGTGTGCACACGAGAGAGTACCAGAAAATAATACTTCAAAATAATAAACTTGTTACAAGAGCAGCAATGATTGCTGTCTATCCAAGCTCTGAATAATTCAAAAGGTTCCTGCTTCACTTAGCATCTCAGGGTATTTTCAGACCTGCCAGAATTTTCTGCTGGTAAATAATGCATCTCTAGTGTTCAAATACACATGATCTCCAACTAATACTAGACACTTAACACTGCTGATTTTGAAATAGGGGGAGCTCTGTGGAAGGCAAATTCCTACTGAGCTGCCTGGGCCTTCTGTCCTTCCCATTTTCACCTTTACCTTTAGGTGCCAAAATCGCTGGCCTCTCCTGCAGTTGCCATATTCACACGTTTCAGCATTAGCCTACAAAATAATTCACAATAGGATTCAGCAAGGGGAATAAAAATAAGGGAAAATAAGGGTGCATCATTGTGCAGCATTTTGAGCTTCCATTTCTGCACAGGGGAATGTCTGCTGTTGTGTCCTGCTGCTGGCACAAGCCCCCTGGAACAAACTGGGTGCTTTGGGCAATGGGTTACCCCAGAGCCACAGCTCTTAACCTCATCCCAGTCCATGGCAGTAATAGGGCAAGACCTACAGCCTCAGCAGCTGCCATGCTTCTGGCCCATCCACTTCCCCTTGCAGGAGCATAACTTCAGAGACACTGGGAAAAGACTTTAAACAACCACCAGAGCATGACCAGGACTTCTGTAGCAGACCTTTGCATTCAGCACCTGTGAACTTTGGTCCAAAACACGAAACAATAGTAACCTATATGTGGCTAAGAAGCAAATGTTTGCATTGAGACATTAAATAATGATGACATCTAAGATGCAAGATGGGTAAGTAGCAATAAAGATAATGCACATCACATAGAGAGGGGGCAAGGCGAAGACTTTCATTTGAACTACTGGAATTTACTGGTCTAGACAAAATGCCTCCTGGATCCAAACTGTGAATCCAGCTCCTACTTTACCTGAACTCAAAGCAAGGTGAATTAATGCACAGCACAGCAGGCCTAAGATGGAGTTGCAGAAGCCTTTCCAAACGTCCTCCTCCTGTTTTATTGAACATTTCTATTCTACCCCATGAACACTGCTGGATTTACAGCTACAAAGAAAAGAACAAGCTGTTCCTCTGGTTGATATGGCAATTTTAGGAATATTCCTCTCGTCAGAGTGGAGACTCAGCTACCTGAAACCAAAGAATTGAGAAAGGAGGCAACACAGAAAGGGCCCAAGAGAGTCAACAGCGATGTGGGAAATTAATTAGTAAAGACAAGGAGAGGCCTATGGGTTTTTTTTTTTGTAGTATCTGAATTTTTCTTGACTCCAGACTGCATTTCATATGAATTCTGTTCTAATAATACCTGAATGTTTCACTGCCTGCTTGTGCTCATCACAGGGAAAGTATACACAAAGTCACAGCCTTTGTACCATCCAAATGCAAACAGCAGTATGCTACATTTCAGCCCAGGAGCTGTAGTCAGGAGCAATACGGTGCCCACGTTCCGGCTCTGAAATTAACCAGATTTTAGGATCAAGGGAATATCTGAAGGTTCTGTTGCTGGCACATCCAAGACAGACAACTGCAGGAAAGCACCCAGCTCTGCTCTGTCTTCCAGATGCTGGTTTCCTACATGCTGGTTTCCCTTGGTGGTATCAGATGATTGTGCTCTCATTACAGGTCCCCAGGGACACCAGCATCTCTGATTTCAGGGCGCTTTCTCCAAACTTTTCTAGCCCCAGACTTTTTAAGTGTTTTGTTTATCTTGCTTCTGTGGTTCCTATTGTTCCTAAACTGTTTTTTTTTTCTTATTAAATTACAGAGGTTTCAAGTTGGAATAAAACTTCCTTTCCAAATGTGTCCAATTGGCTGGCTGCAGGGGAGAGAGCAAGGGCAAGGAGAAGAGGAGAATTACAAGGTTTCAGATTCCTGTAAACAGAGAAACATTTTTCCAGTCATCAGTCTGAGCCCAGTGGAAATAGGGCTTCAGTTTCCTCTAGTTAACGCTGGGGATCCGGTGGCAGTGCTGTTGACATGCTTCCTTTCTCTCTAGCAGTTGCTGGATGCTGTTTAGTCTGCAGCTGATGAGCAAGCCTGGGTGCTGGCAGTCTTTGCTGCTGTTTCCTTCTCCATTTTCCAAGCATGCCCTACACCCATCCCAGGAGCAGGTGTCTGCTCCAGGGGAGGGCCCTGCAAATGTGCCTGCTTTCCTCAGATCCTGGCTCTGAACTCCACCATGCATTGGAGCAGCTCCGAAGTGGCTTTGAGGACTGCAGCTGAACTCCCTGAAAGGGTAGCATAAACTTCCCTGAATCCATCCCCTTCTGCTCCTGCATGATCCCAGCAAGCCTTCACTCTGCCCACAAGTGCTGTTTCTTGGCTTAACTGTATATGGTGTGGGGTCTAGGTTAGGAAGCATCTTCATGTTCTGTGTAACTGCAGCACCTGGGGCACGTGGTCACGTTCCACAGATGGTAGATTTAGCAACCACCGCAGTGCAAACACACAGTAGGTTGTAGCCGGGCCACTGTCACCAGACTTACAGAGCCCTTTCCATCAGTCAGTGTCAATATTTTTCCAGTATGGTCATGCAAACGCTGTTTCCCATCAAGTACTAAACCAACTCAATTCAGATCTGCCTGCAAAAGCTGAGCAACAGCCTGTTCACAGGCATCAGTTTTCCAAATACACCAACAGACACCTCCCTAGGAGGAGCTGAGTATAAGAGAACACGAAGAGAGCAAAACCACAATGCACAGACATTTGCTTAGACATGTGCAGTAATAACATTAACGTAAAACCTTTTGCATATTGCTAATACTTGCGTTTACAATTCGTATGTGTACCATTCATAAATATTGCACATGCCTAAAAGGGCAAAGAATTATAGTGCTGCATTTGCTGACAGTGCCAGCTGACACATTTAGCAGGAAGGAGTCTCGTGGTTAAAGCTCCTGTCTGAGCACAGGGAGAGGTTGGGTTTATACTTGGCTCTCGACAGGCTTCCTGTGTCACCTTGCTGCCATCACTTTGCTCAGTTCCCTCAGCCATGAAGCCAGCTATTGTGGAATGAGGTTTAGACTGGGAAGTCACCCCATGGCCAGCAAAGGACAGGTGCCATGGAAGTGATCTTGCATGTGTGCATGCATATGTATATTTAGGTGCAGCACAAATGGCTGGCTAGAAGGGGATTCAAGCATTCGAGTCACTTCCTAGAAACTTTTGTTTGTTTAGGTGCCTTTGCATACTGTGTGATAATATTTCCTTGCTGTTGCTGTGAGCACAGACCTCCAGATGCACCCAGGGCAAAGAGCAGTCTCTCCAAAAGTATTCCTAATGCACCTGTCAAAGATTACAATTAATTCATGACTGTTTGATGGCTTATGCTAAATGAGTTTGGCTGCAATCCAGTTTCCATTGGGCAATTGTCTCCATCTCAGGAACACCGTGACATTTGGCATTTACTGTCATCTTGGTTGGCACTCCTACCCAGGGCCATGTATGGAATGTGTCAGGGGAACAGCCTCGCTTTTCAGTCCCCAGTCTGTGTTGAGATAGGATGGTATAGAGGAGCCTTTTGTTATTATTCACATGTAACTTCCCTCTTGAAGATAGATGGAAGAGTTTGTGTTTCGTAGCTGTTAATACGGCACCTCTCTTCACTGCAAAATCCTCTTTGTGCTCTATCCGATGATTCCCAAACCAGTCTCCTCCTGATACAAGGTGTCTGTTCACAAAGGCTAAACCATAAGCTCTCCCCCAATGCTTAGATTAGCACGATATGATTCAGTAATTTCCTTTGTTGCAATCTCTCTCACCCTGTCAGCACATTCACTCGATATTGTTTTAGTCCTTGTGTGAGATTACTGCCTCTGACCCCCACTCCACACCGAGCTGCATAAAACCAGTCAGACAGCAGCATTCCTGTGCCAAGCAGCGTTATTTTCCTGGCGCACTCCTGATAGCCATGGCAACATGGCTTTCAAACTGCTGACTATCTCCAGCCCTCGCTGGCACTCCTCCTGCTCCATCACCAATGGGATTCTTGGGGTGACAATGCCACCCCAATGCCCGTACCCATTGGCACATCCCACTGCTCCATGTGCACCAGGAAACTACCCCCTTCTGTGCAGAAAAGGTTTAAAGGCCGCATTGCCAAAGTCACATTTATTCCTCATAGCAGGTCAGCTCCCTTTGTTGATGCAATGGTTAAACAATAAGGAGATAGTTTGCCCTGTCCCAAGGAGATGATCTCATCTGGGATAGATTTTGCATTTGTGCCACAGCAAGAACACGGTGAGCTTCAGTGCAATGCATGCTGCGGAGCAAGGCAGTGAGAGCAGGGCCAGGGGATTCAGGCAAGGGACTGCTTGTTTTGGCCCGGTGCTGGGACAGGGAAAGCATGAGAGAGAAAAAGCAAGCACAGAGGTGTTTGCATATGGTCCTGGGGTCACTTGCAAGGAGGAACAGGCAGGGTGAAATACACCTTCAGAGATGAGACAAGGAAACGTAAATGGCTGTTGAAGAGCTCTACCAAAGTTGCCTTTCCAGCAATTCCACCCCAGAGAGAACAGGATCTGGCAGATACCAGCCAAGCTGCCCCACTGCTGCCAGCATGTCAGCTGGACCAAAATGTCACTGTCACTGCATCTCCATCCCAGGCTGCCAAATGAAGAAGCAGGGGTGAAAGCCTGGTTCACTGGATGGTTCAGGAGGTATTAGATGACTGGGAGCCAAAATTTCACCCAAGAGCTTTTCCATCCTGTAATGCTGCAGGCTCACTGCCCAGCATGAAGTCTGCAGGTATCCTACACTGACCCAAAGGTCCTCACAAGGCTCTACGTATTTAC